AAAAAAAGTTTGCTATTTTCATTATTACCAAATAAGATCACGAACATAAATGTGCATAATATAAACTGAAAGCGCTACAGAAACCTAAAACGAGGCTCTGACTTTCATAAACCGATCCTATAGGCCCGTCTAAAGCCCATTCAGTTTGAAAAAGAAACTCAATTCCCGGTGCATTCTCTCAGGGGCGTATAAAGAATAATTTAGCTCCCCAAAATTTGAAAAGGTGTCCTGGAAGAGATCCCGTCCCCAGGAAAACCCCAGCCCTCTCCTAGACCGTCCCGCCCCCTACCTTTCTCAGTCACCACGAAGCACTGCTTCACCGGGCCCACCTGACTGAACAGCTCTTCCAGCTGCTCGCTGCGGGCTGAAGGCGGAAGGCGACTCACAAACAAGGTCAGGCCGGCCATGAGACCGGGAAAACGAGGGTCGTGAGGCCAAGAGCGAACACGGCCACCGTACTCCGGTGGTAAAGACCGGCTGGAGTACGACAACCACGCCGACTTGCCGGGCGATCCCGGAAGTGCTCTTCACTCAAATGACTCCGGAGCGGAAAGCCTAGTGGGACGGGGAAGAAACGTTCCGGAATGAAAAAATAGTGACGCCCCGGGGGGCGGAGATTTTGAGCGAGGCTCCACCCTCTGTCTCAACACCGATCTCTCCACTGTTGGAAAACATATCAACAGTTTACTCTTTCTGAAAATCTCACCTCCCGAAAATCCAAGATAGGCAAGAAAGGCCGGTTTGCTCTAGGCCTTATCCGGGATCTATCATATAACGAATGTTTTAAAATATTTTCTGAAGGGTCTCCACAGATTTCCAGTTTACGCGCTTAAACTGCAGGCAGAACGCACACAGATGTACACCATTCGGACAATTCTCAAATTCTCAGAGAATATAAGACTAATGTCATCTCGGCTTCACTGACAAAGTGTAGCTACTAAAGTATGCATACATACAGATGGTTTATGGTTTGGACCTGGAATGTGCCCCAAATGCTCATGTGTTGAAGGCATGAAGGCTTGGTTGCCAATGAAGCAATGTTCCGAGGTCGGATTTTTGGGCAGTAATTGAATAATGTGGGCTCTGACATCATCAGTGGATTAATGCATTGATGTATTCATAATTTGAATGGACTTTTGGGGAGTGGTGGAAACTGAAGGAGGTGGAACCTAGTTGGAGGTAGTGGATATAGTCCTTGGGGGACTATGTCTTGTCCCCACCTCCCCTCCTCTCCTCTCCTCTTCCTTTATCTTCTTTTCCTCTGCCATGATGTTCTGATGTACCTCATCCCCAAACAATTAAGCCTAACGACCACAGACTGACTCTCTGAAACTTGAAACTATGAGCCAAAAATAAATTTTCTCCTCTAAGTTGTTTTTCTCAAGTACTTTGTCACAGTGACAAAAAGCTAACTAACACAGTACACAATTATGCTTTCAATAAATACTGAGCTCCTACTATGTGCCAGGCATTAGGGATAAAATCAGGGAGTTAAAAAAAAAAAAACAAGGTCCCTGCCCTCCTATAGAAGATAGTCTAGTGAGAGAGACAGACATTACTCAAAAAATCTTACAAATATATCACAGCATGTACAGTGCAAGATCATATCAGAACACACCCAAAGCAAACAAAGCACCCGACTTATGCGTACAGATTTAGAACCCAGTTCCAATCAGAGACAGGGGATTTTCCCCCAGGTCAGCTTATCAGACAGATCTAAGTTTGAGAGATCTGAGCAGGAGAAGATCTGGATGCTCCTGGGTCCTGAAACACAAAGAGTATTTGCCATACACTAGGCTCAGGAACTGACCTGTATGCAAGACCATGGCATCTGCAGAACACTTAGCTGCAAAAAATACCAAAGCACTTTCTAAATCATTGCTTTTAATGATTTAGCATAATAGGTAGAAAATGCAGAAAGGATAAAAGGTAGAGTGAAAAGTTTTCTTTTTCTCTTCAAGCCCTATCTACTCTCAATACATTTAAGGATGGATGGATGACTGGTTGGTAGTTTTGGGGGGGAAAGGGAAATTCTGAATATCAGATTTATGAATCCCTAGCTCCAAGTAAGTATTATGTACTTAAAAAAACACACACACACACACAACACAGTTCTTTTTAGACACATAACTCAGGAGAGGGAGCACTGAAATACAAAACAGATTGTTAAGGTTACTAGGTTAATCCTACCTAGGATAAAGAGAGCCAAATAGATGAGGGAAATGAACTGGATTGCTTGCACAAAGTTGTTTTGAGATTCCACATTCCTACCTGTTCTTTCTCTTTCCCTTCTGCACCCTTCACCTTAAAACCACAATTCCATCACCAAGGACTAAAATGCAAGCTTCAGGGCCCCAGCTGTGGTGAGGCCTTCCTAGTCTTGGCCTCAATATGTACAGAGGAGAAGGTTGTTCCAATATCTCTGCAACATTCTCTACTAATACTATTTGAAATACTTTGGATCCAAGTTTTTCTTAAAGAACAAAAACAAACCATTTCCCTATGCCCATCAGGGGGCAGCAGCTACCCACAGGGTAGGGTTCTGTGCCCCTCAGAGAGGACAACTGTATAGTTGACCCTTTCTACCCTCCCAGTAGTTCAGACCTGTGTCCCATCTATTTTTCTCACTTCCCTCGTATCCATTCATATAAGGGAGAGCACATTGTTCTTCAATCAGAAATATTTGCTCATCCATCTCCTCAGGACACATGCAGCGTTCTTTATTAAATAGTAAGAGTCTTGGAACCCTGCAACGTGGCTTCCAGGGGAAATAAACTGCCAGCCTGCCCCTCATCCATCACTGTGCAGGAGCCTGGAAAGGAGGTAAGAGAGGCTGGGCTCTTCTCAGCCTCTCCCAAGCCCCATCCCTCTGATTCTGCTATTCCTTGTCAACCAAACCTTCTGTAGTGCCAAGTCATTCTTGTTCTTCACAGTTAACACAACAGTAATTAATTACTGCTGCTATTTTGATTATTTATGTGATTAGTTGTTTACTGTCTCTTTCTTCAAAAGAACTGCAACTTCATAAAATCAGGGCTGGTGTCCTCCTCATTCACCTCTCTATCCTCAGCACCTATCATATTTTAAACATTCAATAAATGTTTTAAGAGAATGAATGGAGGTGAATTTGTCTCTCAGTCTTCCTCAGGACCAAGATTTGGAACTGCAGATGTATGCACTGGGATTTACCTGGACTCCTGAGAAACCTGCTTTGGGTATGGGATAAGGCATGAGACAAAAGGGAAGAGCTGTCTAACCAAAGTCTTGGCCTCTTTTTGAAGTCAAAGGGCTCGGGTAACTCTTACTGAGGAAAATCAACAGTGTTGGAGCTGGTGAGCACCAAGCTGTACTCCCTCCCCAACTCCTTCCCCACCAGCCCCATTCAGTTTCTGGATAGAAAAGAAATGTATGTGGGGGGAGGGGGACAGAGAGATTGGAGTTATCCAGGGCTTGACTACTCTGTTGGTGTGTGTGTGCATGAACCCAAGGGCCCTCAATAGGGAGGGTCAGAAAGAGCAGCTGGCAAGGATTAGAATGAGGAAGAGATGGCAAAAAGAAACTGCATGTGAGCAGAGGCAGATAGAAGGGAAAGTGGAGAAGAAAAGGAGCAATTGCTCAGAGCAGCAAGCACTCCTTGCATGACACAATGCAGCACTGATGCTGAGCCTGCTACAGCCACTATGACACCAGTGAGAAATGCCTGTAATTAGGAGCCTGGCAATTCTCTGGGCTTCAGCCCAGAGTGACGATGCAGCAAGAATTTCTGAGCCATGCTGAGCCAGGTGATGGAGGAGACATGGTCAGAACCATTCCAGACCCATCCCTCAGCCTTGCCTGTACCATCCACCTCCCATTTCTCTTCGCTACTCTTTCTCCCCCCAGACATTGCTGGCTCCCTTCCTTCCTCTGAGATCTAAGGCCCTGGATGCTCCTCTCAACCAAGACAGATCATCATCTGCAAGGAGAGCAGTACTTGAATTCCCCCACTAGTGCTTGGGACTTGGTCTGGCCAAGGGCCCCAGCTGCCCTGGGCTTCCCTGCCTGCTTCTCTTTTGGCTCCTAGCCTCCCATCTCTAAGCCTCAGCAGCTGATGGTAAGAATTGGAAGGAAAACCACTGGAGTTCCTGTTTTACCACTTTGAGCCTGTGTGTGCCCCTACAGGTCTCCCTGCCATGTGCAGGACATCTGCCAAAACACTGTCAGATTTTCATTTTGAAACCTAATCCAACACTCTGCTTTTGTGCCATTCTAAATCACTGAATTTTAGCCAAATGACAAATGTGCACTATCTAGAGCTCCCAGCCAAATGCTCCAGGCAAGGGAGGGATTACCGAGGGCCTGGTGGCTGGATGTGTTTGTGGCTCTCTGCACTGTGAATTCTGCTTTGGGTGCTGGACTGGGGCTGAGGCAGGGGAAGAGGCAGGCAGTGGAAGACAGGCTTTCTCTGGGGAGAATCTGTGCCTATGGGGGATGACAGATCTGCAGGGGAGTGGGTAAGGTGGTTGTGAGCCCAGTTTCAAAGAAGCCCTCTTGGTGGGTAAAGAAGGCAGTTTTCTCTTTGTGAATCCCAGGCTGTTTGACAGTGGTTGGGGGACTGCTGGGGATTCTGGCTGGGGGTGATCAGGCCCTTTTACATGTGTATCAATGTTTCCATGAAGGACTTTATCCCAAATAGTCCCTAGCCAGTAGTTCACTAAGCCCCAAAGCCAGGCTCCTAGGAATCCAGGCATTTCCACCAAGACTGAGAGTTCCTCCCCAACCTCTGAGGACTACATTTTTATCCCTATGAAAAACCACTTCTCAGAGAGTCATAAGGATCTTCAAGGGGCAGCTCCCAGGACCCCCACTCATCCCAGCCATGGGATAAGATTCCTTTGTCTTATGTGAAGGTGCCTGGTTCTGAGGCAGACGTACCCCACTTCCACTTCTGGTAGAACCACTGCTTCTGTAGTGCCATCTAAGTTTTTCCAAGAAGGTCAGAACTTTCTCCTCTGAAAATATTTTATTGATAAATTAACTCTGAAAGTGTTTATCTCCCACCCAACTGCTATAAGGTCTCCAGGACGGGCCATGGACCCTTCTGTGAGGAAGGGTCTGATGGAGAACAGGGAGTCTCACTCTCCACAGAGGTGGGGTTTCTGGGCATGGCAAAGGTGGGTATGGGGCAGAGGCAGGGCCCCAGGTCTTCTGAGGACAGTTCCTCTCACTCAGCACCAGAGTGGGAAGTAGTAGTCAGAGGTTGGAGCACCTTGGAGCTTTATTGCTGGCACAGGCCAAGGATAGTGAGATTCCTGCTGGCCTAAAATTACAGCTGAGGGCATCTGAGCCCAGGGCTCCAGAGAAGATGGCACTGAGTCCCAATCAACAGAGCCCGGCTACTGACTCACCCACCCCATGGAGGAGGAAGGAAGCAGGGGAGCTATCTGACCCAGGCAGGATTGGGGAAAAGGTTACAGTGTGCAGGTCTTGGCCACAACAGGCACCACAAAGGGGCCCATGGACAGAGCAGCTAAGTGGCTGCCCCTTCACAGGTCTATGGTGTCGCTCCCCACGCTCAGCTCGTCGATCTGTCGGCAGGCATCCAGGAACTGCTCCTGCAGTAAAACCTCCTCGGCCTGCAGCTCAGGAGCTGGCTCTGGGGAGTCGCGGGAGGGTGGGGACAAGGCCTGGTAGGATCCGGAAGCTGGGAGGCTGGGGCTGCTTCCTGAGGGCCGCGGAGGACTGAGGACGCAAACCAGTGGACAGCGTAGGGGCCTATCGGGGCTGGAACACAGCAGCATGGACGAGCTGTCCCGCGAGAGTCCACACAGAGAACCCGAGGAGGCGCTGCTGCCGGCGGGCCAGGCCCCAGGAGAGGGGAGCTCCGGAGGCGCCGGGGAACTGGGGGTCTCCTCCGACTTTCCACTGGGCCCAGTCCCTGTCTTGGTCCCTAGCGAGGCTGTGCGATAGAGGCCGAGCCCAGGCAGGGCTTCCCCGAAGGCAGGGCCCTGGAAGAGACCGGGAGCCAGCAGCGCCTCGCTGCAGAGGGCCTCCTCGATGCTGCGCCGCAGGTTGATTGGGGAGGGCGGGCGGAAGTCTACGGTGCAATCGCTGCAAGGGGAAGAGGCGGGGGACTGGGCCGAGTTGGCCGCGGTGCCTTTGAAGCCCCGGCAGCCACCTCCCTGGAGTAAGAGGTCTGGGCCTGGCCCTGCCAGGGCGCACAACTGAAGCAACTCGGTGTCGCCACGTGCGATGGCGCTACCCAGAGGCTCCTTGTCTGGGGGCCCAGTGACCCAGCCCCCTGGCAGGAGCGGAGCCGCATGGCCCGGGGACAATCGGAAGAGCTTAGCCCAGCAACGCGGAGGCACGCGGGGACTGCAGAGCGCGGGGTAAAGTCCCAGCAGCGCCAGCGGGAGTGCGACACCCACCTCGCCCAGGCGCAGGCCTAGCTGGAAGGCCCACCAGGGCCAAGGCCCCTCTAGGCCAGGTTGGCCTCCATAACCTAGGGCGTGAAGAACCTCGTAGCCTTGCAGGGCTCCGCTCAACAGCCCGAAAGTGCCAGCCACCGGAGCAGTGCGCGCCGCGCGCCGCCAGGACTCACGGGGGGCGAAAGGGCTGCGCGCCTGCGGGACAGGGGTAGATCCCTTGAAGCCAGACCCTCCCAGGGGCGCTCCAGCCCGCCGCCGCCGACCTCGCCAGCAGGAGAGCGCCAGCAGGAGCCCTGAAAGGAGCGCGGCAAGGAAGGCGTGCAGCCCGCGCGAGACGAGCCGCAGGGGCCGCAGCGGGCGATGCGCGGCGCTGCCAAGCGCTGCGGCGGCCGACAGCCCTAGCCCCAGAAGCAACAGCGCGGCCAATCCGGCGGGGCACCGCGGCGGGCGAGGCCGAGCCAGAAGCAGGCAGGCCAGCCCCAAGCCGGCTGCCAGGCAGGGCAGAGGAAGGTCCTGCAGCAGCAGCCAGGCCAGCGCCGGCAGCCGGTCCCGGTGCCCATAGGCGTCGTAGAAGAGTGGAAAAGCCCGCGTGGTCCCCGCAGACAGCAGCAGCAGGTCCAGCAACGCCAGGCAGGGGGCGCCGGGCGGGCAGCGCCAAGGCAAGAGGGCCAAAGCCAGTAGTGCTAGCAAGGCCACCAGGCCGAAGAGAGCGCCTGCCCCATACACATGGGCCTCCCAGGCCAGCCCCCAGTGAGCCCTGGCCTCTGTCCAGTCGGCCTCCAGGGTCAGGAAGAAGAGAGGCAGCGGGGAGGCAGGAGGCTGCACCTCATGGTCAGGTAACTCTCCCACACTGCAGGAGTCTGGCCCACATTCTGGCTGCACTGAAGGGTTCCCAAGGCTGGCAGGAGATGGGTCATCAGAGGTGGTGATGGTGGGGTCTGTGGGCAAAGAACGTTTTGCTGAGGCAATTGTATAGTCCCACCCTCCACCCACAGACCTCAACCAGATGCCTGAATACCAGTTCAAGAGTCCATCAAAACACCCAGGATGCCAACTTGTATAACAGATTAGAATAAATAAGTAATTTTAAAAACACCCCGGATATTCTTGTTCTATAGAGGAGACTCTAGGACTTCTTGGTCTCACATCCTCCCCTCCCCCATTCCAACCCCTCTGGCTGAAGCTTCCTCATCCTTTCCCCTTTCACTCTCTTATGTTTATTTTCCTCCAACAATCTTTGATTCTACTGGGGAAAAAAAAGTGTTTGTTTCTTTAAGAAGTTACAGAACTTTACTACAACTGGAAGGAATAGTGGATGCCCCCTCTAGTACAAATCCCCCATCAGAAATGAAGATTTATGATAACAAAGATTTTTTTTGTTCCCTGTGCTCACATCTGAATCTACATGCCTAAATGGTTTGTGGTATCTAGTTGACAGTGGGCAGATATCCATTGAATAAATGAATTCTCATTTGCCAGATAAAGATACTGAGGCTCTGTAGAGAGATAAAATGACTTGTCCAAGGTCAAAGAGTGGCAATGACAAAAAAGATGATGTACCACTAGAATCCAGACCTGAGCACCAATCTGAGCCCCTTTCCACTCCAAAGCCTCTTCATAATTCTTGTCTGCTTATCTCTTGTTTTATACCCCTGACTCCTAATTCCTACCTTGGTGGTAGGAGATACATCTGACCTTTTCAGGTATTCTCCCATGTTCTCATTTCAAGGAACTGACATGCATACACACACAGAGCAGGGGAAGAGAAAAGACTCTCTTGTCCCCAGCACCTTGAGGAAAACACTATTCTTATTACTACCCTTCCTGCCAACTATACCTCAATCCTCAGCCTACCCATGGCTGTGGCCCCACAAAGCCATTGGTCTAAGACTCAATATAGATGGCCCTTTGGTTCTCCGCCTTTTATAGAAGGTGACATTGAGTTGGACTACCCTGGGTCTCAAACTCCCAGAAAGGAGCAACTGAGGAGTTGATAGCAGGATAAGATGCCATCCAAGTAAGTGAGTTCCTCTGGGTCCAACATCTTCCCACATCTCTCAACAGAGAGGAAGTCAACTAAGCAGGGAGAAGAAAGACCCTGGTTCTACCACTCTCTTAGAGCAAGAGAGGAACTCAAAAGAGTTAGATCCAGGGATTCTTGCCATGGCCAGGTCACAAGGAAGATGCTGGAAGCTGACCCCTCCCTATCACTATCTCACAGGCTTGGAGCAACTACATATTCAGGTTAAAATGAAGGAAGAAAAGATGGTAGTGAAGGATGGGGACAGCCTGGTGGTGAAGGGAAAGAAGACTGGGCACAGATGGGAAGTGAGGGAAGAGTGTCTTCTATGGCTCACACTCCTGCCTCAACTGTTTGAACAGGTCCAGCTGAACAACACAGGAAAATCCTGGCTTTCACTGGGGACATAAAAGGCACACAAGTTCTAAGAACAAGGAAAAGGAGTAGGGGGCCAGAGAGCTTCTCTGGAGAGAGGGGAGGGCAAGATAGAATTGGTCAACTAGAGAGACAGAGAAGGTACAGCCAGAAAACTAAATATAGCAAATGGCAGCATACACCCTGATTCCCATTTGATCACATTTCTCAAGTAAGAAATAGGTAAGAGCGCCACTACATAGTATAGTTACAAAGACAAAAGAGATGATGTATGTAATATTCTTAGGAGTGCCTGGCATGAAATAATGTTCAACACAAGCTGGTGGTCCATATCATTATTATTGGCTAATGTTCATCACTGATCAATCATTAGTTTGTATTTGTGTGAATGTGACCATTCCTGGCCTCACACTAATTCTTGATTTACCTAATTAAAAACTGTTGTTTTTAACATCCTTCGCATATCCTAAGCTTGCGAAGAGTGAAGATCAATATACTGTCTCAGTTTATGAACTCTATTTGAGTTAATGACTTGACCATCCCAGAACACTCAGGAAGACAGTGGCCATCAGTTAAATGAGAAATCACCCAGCTAGGAACAGATAGCTTGGTAATTAGGAGAGGGCATCAGTCTGGCATTGGCAGGATCAAATAAACACATTCCCTTGTCCCTCATTCCCTGGTCCCCTCTGATGTTCTGGCCCAATGCACTGTTTTCTGGTCTTAGTCACTTTGCAGTGACTGAGGTCCTACAGCAGCAGCCAGGCCAGTGCTGGTAGCCTTTCCTTAGTGGGCTCTACAAAGAGGAAGGGAGGTTCTGCCCCAGCCTGTCACACCTCACCTTCTCCTCATTGCTCACTACACAGACAAATGCAGCTCTCAGAGGTCAGCTCCACTTCATACTCTTCCATCTTCACCTTTTCCCCCTTGTGGGCCACAGGAAACCCCATCTCCCATCTTTGTCCTCAAGCACTATGGCAACTAGAGCAAATTTCAACATTTGTAACAATCCAGGGAAGGAATAAAAGCCAGAAAATAGGCAAAGTATGGGGACTGCTCAAGTGTCTGAGAGTGAGTTCTGAATTAGGAGCATTGTTTCCAGGGGTCAGAGCATTCTTAGTACATTCTAAGTGGGCCAGGCAAGGGTGGGGACAGGTAGGAGAAAATCCAACTTCTACCTTTGAAGGGTCCACTTAACCTCATTTTCTGTCTCCCCATTTGTGGCTTCCCCAGAAAGAGCCTTCAGTTTCCCCCCAGAAGATAGTAACCTGATTCCCTCTTCCCAGGATCCCGCTCCTAAACAGGGCACTCCTCCAGAGAGACTCCAATGTGACCTGTAGCCCCTCTTCGCCTCAGGGGTGAGGGAGGAGATGGGATGTCAATGTGAGTAATCCATGAGGCAGGAGCTGACTGGGGAGGGGGGAGGGGAGGGGAGGGACAAGCTCATTCATAGAAGAGTCAGGCCTGATTATCCACCAGCTGCCCAGATCAAAGGGCTGGGGAATTGCATCTCCATCCTGGATGCTGTAGCTCATTTAGAGGCCTGGCCTCATCCTTCTCCCCACACCCACCCCCAGGATCCTGGAGAACTGATAAACATTGTAGCACTGATACTGGAGAAATATTTAACAACTAGGATGGAGCAAATGCTGGCTGCGCAGAACAGAGACCCACCAGGGTACTCTGGGAGTAAAGGCAAGCACTCAGGGAACTGAGGACAGGAGGGACTTATCAACTAGTCTAAAAGTTCTCCCATATGTTAGGACCTATACAACTGTTGGGTTGTGTATGGGCTAAATACAACTCAGTTTAAGGTGAAGGGAATCTAGTACAAGGAAGACATAGGAGTCCAAGGTGCAAGGTTGATGACACCTAGTTAAGAAAGATCTTAGAGGAGACACAGAAAGACTCCCTTTGTTCCCTGTTTGACAGTGCTACATATATATGCACGTGGATTTACACACATGCACGCACACACTCCCACGTGAGTGAAACCCATTGGTCTTCTCTCCAGGAGGCCTGTGGCCCTCCTGGGTTTATCCAGGAGGAGCAGCCAGGAAGAGGCTGGGTTCCTGCAGCCACTAGTGAGGAAGGGGGTGAGGGTGGGGCTGCCAGCCTGCGGAGTGAGGCTGCCTCTGAAACTGTCCAGACTCATTAAACCTGCCTGGCCAGCACTGTCATCCAGGCTGACAGACTGCCAGCCAGCATCCTTCCCCTGGGGCACAGAGTTGCCCCCCTCCCACAACAGTTCCTATTGTTGTTGTACACTGGCTAGATAGGGGAGAAGTCAGTTCCTCACCCACCACTTAGGGAGTGCTGTGACAATGACTGGAGGGAACCAGAAATTGGGGTTTGGTGTTAAGTCTGGGGCTGGCAGAAACTGGAGGACCAGGGGTATCCATGGCTGAGCCTAGTATGGGGTGGCTGAGGGGCTTCACAGGCACAGTAACCCTTTGCAGAGCCCTCCCCGGGGCTCCTGTGACTTCATCTTCCCAAGCACCTGGGCCATCTGCCCAGTGAGTTTATATGTGATTCCACAATAGCTTGGGGCCAGGGCTGTGGTATCTTCTGCAAGATAGGGTCTGGAAGTATATGTGGGGTACAGAAGCAAGGTTAATAGCTATAACTATATGAACTTCTACTTTGTGCCCAGCAGCATGCCAAGAGTTTATGTTATCTGGAAACTTTACAATATCTTGGCAAAATGAGTACTATTACTAAACCTTAGATAAATGAGAGGAGTTAGGCTCAAAGGGGTAAACTAACCTGCCCAAGGCCAACCAGCTAGTTTTAAGTAAGTAAAGGGATTCAAAGCCAGGTCTCAAGATGTCAGAGTCTGTGGTCCCTCCTCAGTATCACATACCTGTCTATATGCATGTTCTGAAAGGCTCCCTTGATCAAAGGTGGCATCTGTCTACTCACAGTCTCCTCTTCAATGTCTTCCCAATGAAGGGCCCAGCTCTGCCCATATCTGACAGCATGTCATGTCAGATCAGACAGCAGAGGAGACAGCCCAAAGTTGGTGTTGAAAGGGGATGCGGAAGTAGGCCAGGCCACCCAGAGTGGAGGGTGGGGTAATTGGCAGTGCAGTAGAAATCATGAAGGAGTCCTGTGCTGTTTGGCCTGACCCACCTATCTCCATCCGATTCTGCCTATGACTGCAAACCTTTCAGAACATTGTAACTTAACTCCATGTGGGATCTTCCCTGGCAACACTTGTTCTCAGACAATTTGTGTAGATTTCTCCATGATGATGATGAAAAGAATGATGATTATGGTTACAATAACAATGAAATAAAGGGTCTGAGAACACTGAGAGTGACTAGCATGTAGTGACACTGAATAAATAACTGTCAAGTTCAAATGAATTGTATACTTACCACGTTGCATCAGTGTTGTTTCAGTTGAAGCAGAGCTTAGGGAAGTAGCTGGGTCCAGCAGACTTGGGCTTGAGAGCTTCCTTTCCAAGGTAGGTAGGGGTGGGGACAGAGTACTGCCAAAGAACCCTGCAACAGAACACATAAGGCCTACCTACACCAAAGGTTGTGGCCTTTGATGCTTGAGAAAAAAACCCTGTCCTTCTGAGGATTTTGCCCTAAGGAAGTCACTATCCTAGGAATTGTAGCCACATACTAAGCTGATGTACAATTTGAACTAAACTACAAGTGCCAAACCAGAGTCAATCTAGCAAAGAATATGTTTCCTTGCGGAGCAGTAGTCCTTGTCCTAAGACCTGGGAGAAGCATTACAGGCCTCCCCTGGGCAAAGAAAAGGAGGTATTGGACAGGCCCCTAACATGGCACCTGGCATGTAAAGGGTCCTATAAATGTATGTTGAAAATAAATGAACACTCACCTGGAGAATCTGACACTTTAGAAGCAGAGCTTGGGGATATTGTTGTGCCTGGGGGGTTCAAGCCTGAGAAGTTCCGGAGTGGGGACAGAGTAGTGCCAAAAAACCCTGCAAAAGGAGTGCAAGCTGAATCTGCCTCTTACTTACCAGGGGGACCCAGCAGAGACTCTCCTCAGATGGGTGGGTGCTTACCAAAGGGTCCCAAACGCCCAGCAATCTCTGCCAGGCTGGCTCGAAGGCTGGGAAGCAGGGGTAATGTTCGATGCCCAAGTGTGGGGGCTGCACCCGCTCTCAGTGCCACATCAAACTTCAGCTCCAGCTCGCTCTGGTGGAGCCTGGGAATACTGGATGGAGGTGCTGTCGCCGTCAAAGCAGTGGCCCAAGTCACAGTGCCCATCCTGGGCTGATAGGGAGCAGTGGGCTGGTCGGTGGGCCCAGAAAGTGGTGATGTGGACTCAAGAGTCAAGGAGGAGGCCCAGGGCACAGAACTGCCTTCAGCAGAGCCCCACTCTGGGGGAGAGTTCCTGGGGGAGCCCACCAGCAGTTCCCAAATGGGGTCAGTCCTCAGCACACTGGCAACCTCTTCTGGTTCCTGGCCTGGCCCAGGAGACAGAGGCTGGGTCTCTGTGACAGGGCTCCCCCAGACAGCAGCTGGTCCCCGAAGATGAAATTTGAAGTTAAGTCCCAGGTTGAGGGAGAGCATAGAGGCCTCACTTTGAGGTGGCGGGGTCAAAGTGGTTAGAGAGGCACCTGGGACGGAGGAGGCAGGCTGGGGGCCCACAGGAACAGCAAGCAGGACCCAGCAGAACAGGCCCATCCCAAGGCAGCCATGCCCTGCCATGGCCCCACCTGGCCCCCTGAGGTGGCCTGAGTAGCAAGGGGCTCAGTTCTTCAGCACCTTTTGAGTACGAAGGTCCTAGAGGGAGGAGAGGCCTTGTGAGCCCTGGCTGCTGCCACCCTCTCCCTCTCCCAGGATCAGACATCCCAGACAGAGGCTTCTGATTACCGAGAAACAGGTGGGGTGGGGCGCAGGATGCAAAGTGTTCTGCCTAAGTAGAGAGACATGATGGCTCTTCTTGCCAGCTCTTTCCTGTACCTTCAGGCCCTATCACAAATCTCTCCCCTGCCATCCCCCACCCCCACCTCAACCTTGCACATTGAGAATTGGGTTCCTCAACATAGCCAGTGGATGGGCTTAGGCTTCCAGATGCAGACTCTTACCCTTCTTCCCCCACCCTTTTGTGGAGCCTTCCTACCTCCTTCAAAAATTCAGAAGCCTACTGTGGACCAAGCCCCCTGCTGAAAATACAGCTGTGAGCAAGCAAACCCTCATTCTGGGTTAGTTCTGACCCCCACCTTTGGCCTGATCTGAGATACCACAGAAACACTGGGCCCCCAGAGGGGCACAGGCCTGCTGGATCTGGCAGTGGCAAAGGCTGCTGGGCTCTGCCAGAGTCTCTAGTCGAGCAGAAGCTCCCTCCTCTCACAACCCTTTCCCCTTCCTGGGGCCTGCCTGCTCCCTTCCCCAAGACCCTAGAAGTATTTGGGGGGAAGGGTAGCTTGGCCATTACTGGCTCCCCAGGGGAGAAGGCCAGGCAAGCAACCTGGGTAAGGGGCAGCAGCAATAGATTCCCAGTCCCTCCCCAGGACTCTCCCCACCCGGAACACACATCTGGTGGGGGGAGGGAGGGTGAACCAGGGACACACGTGCACCCGGCATCCTTCCATCACGCACACATAGCCACACCTAGCACCCGACACACTCACCCATTCACCCTTCACACACCCCTGCACACATGCACACACATTCCATCCTGCCGAGCCCCCTGTCTCCTACATGGGTTCAGATCCAAGCGCTGTGAGCTCCTACCTCCCCTGTCTAGCTCTCTCCCTCTCACACACACACAAGCATATACAGTCAGAGAGGCACACACGCCCCTAACACACATTGGCACTGTACATACACACATCACACGCCGTCATCCCCCCACGCCCCTACACACCCACCACCCCTCGAAGGCACACATGTACACACACGGCGCGCACACACACGTACACACTCCCCAGTCTGGACAGACCTGCTCCTGTCCCTCGCTCCCTTAGGCAGTCTCCTTCGCCTAGCCCCCCGAGAAAGGGCGGTCGCGGCGACCCCGGCGCACCCTACTGGGCAACGCTCCGCGGAGTCTCGCGCCTTCTCTCTGTAGAGCCCGGCGCCAGGACTGGAAATCGGGTCCCCAGCTCCCCGACGCCCCCTCAGCTCGTCCAAGTGACCGCAGCTTCGCCGACCCGCTGCCCCCTGTCTGCCCCCGGCCCGGCCCGCAGCGCTCTCACCAGGCGGGCGGCCGGGCTCCGGCTCCGGCTCCGGCTCCGCACTCCGCGCTCCGCGCTCCCTCCCCACGGCACCGCCTCCTGGCTGCGAGCCCGGCTCCCCGGCCCAGCCGCCCGCGCCGGGCTCCGCGGCAGCAGCGCTCTGACGGCCCTCCCTCCTGGCTCCCGCGCCCTCCCCTCCCCTCCTCCCACCCGGCCCGCCGCCCGCGGTCCACCCCCCACCCTGGCCAGCAGGCGAGCGAGCGCGCACAGCAGAGCCGAAGCCGCGGCCGCGTCGGGGTCGGGGCCCCACGCGCGCTCATTCACCCAGCGCCGCCAATCAACCGCGGTGAGCGCGGGCGCCTCGTTCTCAGCTTGCAGCTGGCAGTCACACACTCCCAGGGTAGCCCAGCGCACACATCTACACGCAAGCCATTCCCAGGAAACACACCCGCCGGCCAGGGCGCGCGCGCGCGCACACACACACACACACACACATACACACACACGCACACACACAGGCATGCACATAAGCCCGCGCGCGCGCACACACACACACACAAACACGGCACACAGCAGCCTGCCCCCACGATGGCACTTCAGGCACTAAAAGTCATTCTATTACGTCATTACTGTGAGTGAGAGTATACTTCCACATCCTCACAAATCCTTGTTACGTTCCCATTTTCCAGCCAGGTAAATTAAGAACCAGAACATCACCGCTACACACCGCTATACAGAGACTTGAACTCGGTCCCTCTGCTGCCCTCCTCACCATCTTATGGTTGGCAACAGTTGTACTGCTACAGAGGAGCATCTCCTACACTTGGCAGGCCGACTGCCAAATGTCAATCTCTACACAACATCTCTTTTTGCTAAAACGGATCTTTCAAAAATGCTTAGAGCTTCAGAAATGTCTGTAGAAAAAAAAAATGGTGAGTTGAACTGCTTGTGAGAATTGGATTACAACTTGTTTCCCATAAGAGGTGAGAGGAGAATGGTAAAATCAAAGAGCATCCAGCCTCCAGAGAATACAAAAGAAACCAAGCAGAGGCAGCCTTGAGGATGACCCAGCACTGAGTAGCCACCATGGATGCTTCTGGAAGCGTACCCTGCTAGGCTGCAGTTGTGACTGATTTAAGCAGTACTTGCTCATTTATGTTACTCTATATCCCTTCATGTTTTCTTCCAAAAATGCTAGTATTTAAAATATCGGGAGAACATAAAACCCCTGAGGCTTCCTGTACCATTCAAAGCTTTCTCTCAAAATTCAGACATTCAATTTACTGAGTGCTGAGCACCAAGGTGAATGCTCCTAAGAATCTCCTCCCTTATTCCTCATCACAGGCCACAGAGAGAGAAAAATTATTGTCACCATGTTACAGCCCTGGATGTGACTCCAAACCTTCTTTCCAAGAACCCCCCTTCTGTTCTGCAAGGCTAGGACAGGGTGTGTTGCTTAAGCAATTACCTAGGTAGTTGAACACCTGTAATCCCAGCTACTGGTGAGGCTGAGGCAGGAGGATGACAAGTTAGAAGTTAACCCGGATAACTTAGCAAGATCCTCCATTTAAAAAAAAAAAAAAAAAGAAAAGAAAAAAAAAAAACTATCAAGGGCAGTTTCTGCTTCAGAGAGCTAGCATAGCACTTTACCCATGGTAGATGTTCAATAACTACTTGATAAGTAACAAATGACTCTGGGGCCCATGTGAGCCATAGGCTACATTTCAGAAAAGCATCCATGTCTCCCTCCCCCCATACACCCCATCCTAACTGATGTAAAATCAAATCAGGTCACCAACTGTGTTCTTCTCAGGATCAGTTAATGATGAAATCTGGGATTTATTCTGAGTTCCTAAATAAAACAGGCAAAGGGTATCCCCTATTGTACCCTGCCAGAGGGGTTACCAACTGGTTCCTCTTCCCTCCCCCAGTCCATTAGCGGTTGTCTTGAGGTAGCATACTACGATTCACTTTCTGGTTTTCTTTCATACACATACTAAAAGTTTCCCACTGGAGACATTTTCTTTGAATCCTCCTCATAGAAAGGCTCATTTCCTGCTAATCATGTTCACTTAAAGACTTCTAGATGGAAGGACAGAGATAAACATACCCCAGTTCATTAAAATACCTGTCCTCCATGACCAAGTAAGGTTATTCCCAGGAATTATATTTTTAAAAGATATTGGAAAGGGAAATTGGGGGATTAAGATGGTGACTGAATGCATATATCCAATCTCACTCCCTCCCAAAACCCCACTAAAACTTCAATAGAGAGATTTTAAAATTAAGAGAGAAACCTGCAAGGAGGAAAAGACCAGGGAAAAAAGACAACATCAACAGAATTTTTGAGACAGGATGCGAGACAGTCATGCAGTTACTGACTTACCAGTCCCAAGGAAAAAAGACATCTCCAACTAGCAGTGAGGAGGGAAACAGAGTCAGGAAACAGAGTCAACTTGATTTACATTGCACGGTTCTCTGAAGGCACAGAAATTGGCAGTTCTAAGGAGCCTCTGGAACTCTGGAAGAGATGACTAAAGTAAAGACCAAGGTGAAATGCAATTAGGTCCCTAGGTCTCTTCCTGAACTCTAAAACACTACGCAATAGTTCATCTCATATCTCAGCCAGGTCTGGAAGATTTTCCTCTGAAGGAGGGAAGATAGAAGGTAACTAGACTGGAGAAACTTCAGGCACAGCTGTGACCCCCAGAGATAGCATACTGAAAATAAGATATTAAGTGACATGTCACACAGAAAGAATGCTGAATGCAAGTACCTGAGCCTTCTCCCACAACCAGATTCCCAAAGTGATGGGAGCAGGGCATTTGCTCGCCAGACTGGAGACTGGAAAACTCTACCCTAGGGCATTTCACAAACCCAAGAGGAAAAGGCTCAATGAAACTGACATAGGCTTTCTGCAGAAACAGCCTAGCTGGCTGGGGGTGCAGCTCAGAATGCTTGCCTAGCATGTGTGAGGCCCTGGATTCAATCTGTAGGGCTGTAAAAACAAAACTAAACAGCCCAGATCATCCTATAGTGCCAAACTCAACCTATGAGCTTGGAATTTCTAACCAGCCTTTTGCCTCCACCCTGCAACTTTAATCATGACCACAGATCATTAGACATTCAGAAAAATTTCTAACACAGAAGAGGGAGACATCATAATAATAATAATAATCATCATCATCATCATCATCATCAACAACTTGGATGAAATAGGTTATACAAAAAGAACAGGCAACAAAAAGACTGTTGTTAATATCCATAGAGAGATAAGATACCGTATCCATGATGCTGTACAAAGAGATTATACATTCAGAGAATGACAGTAGCAACAGTGATATCTTAGAAAATAAAATCAGAAACAAAAACTTTAATGGAAAGATTGGAAGATAAAATTAATGAAATCTCCCTAAGAAGTTAAGCAAACATAAAAATATGGAAGAGAAAAGAGAAGAACATTTGAGTACAATTTCAAAACCACATCCCCAGCCCTATTTTGTATTTTATTAGAGACAGGGTCTCACCGAG